CCACCTCGTCGCCAAAACGACGCCTCCATCGGTCAAGGATTTGGAGACGCTGAAAATGCTTCTTAAGAGGGAGGTGGCAGCAATGGAGGGAGCAGATAAAGCGCAGATTGCTCTCAAAGGCTTGGGCAACCCTTCTTCGGACACTTATGGAGATGTCAACACGCTCCATAAGCTTCGAAGCGTCGGGGTGTTGGACGTCAAGGACGTCTCCTTCCGTGTAGCGAGCTTCCTCAATTCCCCATCCGTCCCAGATGCTGCGAGCGTCCTAAGCTTTTGATGGATGAGAGGCGTCTCATTTCAATGCAGCGGGCCGCTGCTAAGCGCATCGCCCTCTGCCCTCCCTCATCGCTGGCGCAAGATTTTCCCCCCAAGTGGGAAGGCCTTCAGCGATTGTCGCTGGTTCCCCTCTCACTCTCGTCCGGATGCATCCGTCCCAGACTTCACTTCAAATTTTCAAAGTCCCAATTGATGACCGCAATGTAATTTTACAATTCTGTTTCACATAGTAGCAGTAAGCCTTCCATCACGAACGCAATGACGACGCTAAATCACAATGTAGTTCTGCTGACCTTGAAGCCTTTGACCAAGGCGCGCAGGACAGAGACATCAGTGAGAGCTTCGAAAAGATCTGCGCGTGATTGAGCATGGCTACCAATCAGACCGAGTCAAGGCACGCAGAAACCAAAGCGAGCTACCTGCTGTGACCTTGAACAATGCCTAGAGAGAGCGCAATCACGCACTAGATTGCCTCGAATTGATGGACAGAGAGAATCGCTTCACGCATTGGTGCCCATACACTACAAATGGAGGTTTTGATATACATTGCTAAGCTGCAACACTGCCCCTCCTGCCTTTGTCTCTCGGAGTCGAGCCGTAGAAAGTATCCATCGTCGATGGAGGTGATCGTGGAGCGATTTGCGAAAAGTCCGATACGTTCGCGCCACTCTGCAATGCAGACAGAGCAGAAAGAGCGCTGGCGCAGTGTTGTCGAGTAGCGTGCACATACACCAGCAGGCTCGGGATAGCTTCTGGGCTGAGGGCCATCTTGCGGAACACGGTCGAATCGCCTGCGCTGATAGACGTTGATCGCGTCGAATCGGTCGGGGCTGAAGCAATTGTAGATGATGGAACGTAAGAGCTCGTGGCACTCTCGGGCGACTGTGACCAGCTGTGTCCGCTGCTGCTCTCGGTGGCCTGTGTGGCCTCTGTTGCGACGCTTGCCCGATTGGCGGCTTCCCGAGGCCCTACGGACCCTTCTAATCCTTGCAATCGTGCCACTGACAGTCTGCTCGATACCAGAGCAGAGCGCGTGGTTGTCGCAAGCTGCGGTACATTATGACTCCCACTCGAAGTATGTTGGCGATGTGAAGGACTTTGGCCTTCGGCACGAGAGCCTACTGCGGTGTTCTGCGCGTGAATGACGGACGTTGGTAGAGGGATCGAATCGCTTCTGAGCGACTCCGCTTCCGCGCTCTCTTTCGAAACAACAAAGTGCCTAGCGCCATCTGTTTTGGGTTCGGCAGAGATGGACGCGCCACGGGAGCGACTCCCGAAGAGGGACAGTACTCGATGCCGACGTTGAGGTGGCTCTTGGAGCTGAAAAGAAGCGCCTGCAGAAGAATTGGCCTTGACAGAGCTTCGTCGCTGGTGAGACGGCTTCGTGCTTGGCATCACGTGCATCCAACTGCTGTCAAAGCTGCCATTTCCACTACTACTGCCAGCGCTTTGAGCGGAAGCAGCGCTAACCACACGTGGGCGAGCCTGAGCGCCAAAGGCAAGTATTGCTGAAGGCAGAGACGGCGTTGAGTCTCCA